ACTCTACCATCTCGAATGCCTGTACCACCCGCCGTGTGACAACCACAAAGTAATGCAGACATTTCCAATGTGTTCGGGGACTGAGCCAACTGTGAGAAGCATTGCTCTAAACCCCTCTCCTCTCACACGGCAGAGGCTCTCCGTCCTGTACTTAGAAAGAGGAATATTGAGGACGGCAACATGGAAATAAAGAATGCCTGCATGGTTGAGACTGTGCTGTTTAAGAAAACAACGCCTCTGGGGCTGGGGGCGGGGAGTCTGACTGACTCACCCTTTCTTGGAGAAATCCCACCACGCGACCTGTTAACTCAGCAGTGGAGGATACCTGACACCCCATGTCCTTTCCCCAGTAGATCTTTGAAATCCAAGAAAGAGCCTCCAGCCAGAGGCCCATCTCTGCTGGCACTGGGTAATGAGAGGAGAAAGTATGGGCTTGGGAGGGATGGCACGCATGTGCCTCAGGATACCTCAAAAGACCAGAGGAAATAGAGACAAGGAAGCTTGGTGCAGAAAAACAAGGTCCTGTGGTTGGCCATCTTTCTTCCAAACACGTAGGCAGAAAAGCTGTACTGAAAGACTGACATGAGCAGACCCAGGAGAGAAGCCCAGAACAAACTGCGGGGATGCTAGTAACAGTCCCCATCACTGGCTATTAAGGTGCAGCTGGAAATCATCTTGGCCTTCTGCAAAAACACCCCACCGCCCAACACTTTCTTTCTCTTGGCTGCAAGCCAAGGAAACGTTTCTTGCCCAACAGAGACACATGAACAGTAGGAACGTCAGTCCAGAAATGAGTGTGGAAGTAGCGAGCGGTTCGGGGCTTACCTACCAGCAGTAGAGGTGGAGGGTAAGCAAAGGAGGAGGCAGGCCTAGGCAGGGTGGAACGCCTTACCCAGAGGAACCAGGAGTCCACAGTTTTCCAGCATCACTTCCTGGTACAGGGTTCGCTGAGCTCGATCCAGCTGCCCCCATTCCTCTTGGTGAAAGTCACTGCTACATCCACAAGGTCACAGACATCTGTAAAGTCAAATAGGTGTAGCATTGACCTTTGGGCTTTGAATGTGATCAGGGAAAAGATTGAGAGATCAAGGCCTGACATGCTGACACCTCCTAAGGGCCAAGCTCTGTGTGCGAGCTGCAGGGGAGGTGGACGGTGCTTTGAAAATACAAATACAGAGTAAGGCAAAGAAGCTCATATATGAGAATTATCAGAGAATGACGTAGGACAGTAGGGAGCACAAGTGAACTATGAGACACTAGACAATAAGGTTTCCAAGGTATCAGGGAATGAGGATATGATAATGATAAAATAGCAATAATGGTCTCCTATCCAAGTACTAACCAGGCCCAAAATACACATGAGGTAATAACAGCAGTGCATGAGCCTCACTGGTTTCAGCTAGGTGCCCTGCCTCATGCCAAAGGCTTCATATCCTGTGCTAAAGTGACTAAAAGTCCCCAGTTCTTAAGTCAAAACTCTTCTGTGGTCTGAATCCAAACCGCAGCTGTGTCACCTCTGAAACAGTTTATTCAGCCTTGATGCTGGATCAATAGAATAGTCCCCATTTCACCAATAACATTGGTAAGATTTAAAGAATCACTAAGGCGGGGACAGTGCCTCTGCCTGTTATACTAGCACTCGGAGACCAAGGTGAAAGGATCGCTTGAGGTCAGGGGTTTGTGAGACCAGCCTGAGAAAAACAGAGACCCGTCTCTATAAAAAAATAGAGAAACTTAGTCGGGCATTGTGGTGCAGTCTGTAGTCCCCAGCTACCCGGAGGCTGAGGCAAAAGGATTGCTTGAGCCCAGGAGTTTGAGGTTGCAGTGAGTTTATGAAGATGCCACTGACTCTAGCCTGGGTGACAGAAATGAAACTGTGTCTCAAAAAAAAGAAAAAGAAAAGAAAAAGAAAAGAAAAGAAAAGAAAAAAAGAAAAGAAAGAAAAGAAAAGAAAAAGAAAAGAAAAGAAAGAAAAGAAAAAAAAAGGAGGAGGAGGAGGGGAGGAGGAAGGAGGGGAAGGAGGTGAGGGAGGAGGAGGATGAGAGGAATTTTTTTTTTTATGTGTAATTTATTTTCAAGCATATATAGAGATTTTCTTTAAAATGTTAGGTCTTTATAGCTTTTAAAAATTTTTCTATCTTTATTATTTCAGGATGTACGGGGGTACAAATGTTTAGGTTACGTATATTGCCTCACCCGAGTCAGACCTTGAAGCATGTCTATCCCCCAGATGATGCACACCACACCCATTACGTGTGTATATATACCCATCCCCTCCTCCCCACTCCCATCTGCCAGACACCCAATGAGTATTATTACTGTATGTGAACTTAAGTGTTGATCAGTTATTACCAATTTGATGGTGAGTACAGGTGATACTTGTTTTTCCATTCCTGGGATACTTTACTTAGTAGAATGGGTTCAGGCTCTATCCAGGATAATACAAGAGGTGCTAGATCACCATTGTTTTTTGCGGCTGAGTAGAACTCCATGGTATACACATACCACATTTTATTAATCCACTCATGTATTGATGGGCACTTGGGTTGTTTCCACATCTTTGCAATTATGAATTGTGCTGCTGATGGAGGGTCTTTCTTTTTGTCAGAATCCACGTGTCCAATTTCTTTCTCCACAAACAGGGTGTCCTGTTCCCAGACCTGAGCTGATCTACCAGCTAGAGCACGGGCAGGAGCCATGGACAGTAAGGAAAGACCTCTTCCAAGGACTCTGTCCAGGTAGGAGCCAAGGTCTGGGCAGCTGGGAGGCTCTGCAGGCTTGAAACTAGGAAGACAACATTGGCCCTGGAATCTCAGGGAAGCTTCTTGTTGTGGCCTCTCCAGGAATTTGGGAGCCTTGGAGGAGCCTTTTTGACCTGTAGTCCCTTTTTCCTCCCATCCCCCTCACACATGTCTTCACCCCTGGGGACAAGTGAGGTTGATGAACTGGCATTTGTCTCAGGGCTCCAACTGTGTGGGCCTGAAACCCATCTTGTCCATCACCAGCTCTGCGGCTCTAGTGAAGGTGCATGCTCTCATGTCTTTGAATATAAGTTCCGACAAGTTAACACTAGCTGCTGTTGTGAACAAACTCCAAACTCTTGGTGGTTCAGCATAGGAAAACCATTTTCTCATTCATACCAAGGTCTGTGTGGGTCTATGGGGAGCTCTGTAGCACACAGTAATTCGTGGGCCCAGGTACCTTCTGTCATCAGCCTTTGCTTTAAGGTTGTGTTGACATCCTCCTGCTGGCAGAGCATTAAGAGGAAGGGAAGTCACAGCCACTTCCAGAAGCACCAGTTCACCTCACATCCTACCCATAGGAGGTAGGGATTTGGCTACAGTGGGTCCACTGATCTGGGAAATGTGGCTGAGCTGTGTGTCCAAGGAGAAGAGCAAATGGTTTGGCGCTCATCTACTCAGTCTGCTAGTCAGTCTGTTCCCTGAAAAATGATAGTAACAATAGTTTTTGTCATTGGGTTGTTTGAAGATGTAATCATGTTATCTCTTAATGCATATAGCAGCACAGTGTCTGAGCCATAGTAAGTGACTCATTATAATAAACTGTGAGTATTTCTCAAGTTTTATTAGTCATGATGAAAAATGATATATTTCCTTCTGAACTCTGGGGAAAACTCTCCCAATTTCATTCTCCAGCTGTATCCTGCCTACCCCCCTTTCCCTCCTTCTCCATCAGCCTGTTTTCTGAGTGTCAGTCAGACACTGAAGTAGTCCTTGCCCATGTCTTCCTGCATCTCCTGTGTTGTAGAACCTCTAGGTGACTTTTGTTTGGCCTTCTCTGTCCCACACCTGGGCTGCTGAGGGCACTTGGGCAGTCATGTGTGTTCACTGGTGTCCCTGCAGAGTCATGATCTCTCTTCCGTGTTGGTCCACTGGGCTGCTGAGCCAGCCCTTGAGTTGTCTTAGTGCTGTCCCTTTTCAGCCATTCAGAGTCTATTTCAAATCTTCTCCACTCTTGAATTCTACGCCTCCACTTAAGTATCTCAAAAGCACAAAGCTCATTCTATGTCATCCAATCCTTAGTAGTTGGCCCATTAATTCATTTCTTACTTTTAAAGATGGGTCTGCTCATATTTGCTCAGGCTGGTTTCGAACTTCGACTTGAGGTGCCATCCGCCTTGGCCCCCTGAGGCAGGATTACAGCGTGAGCCACCACGCCAGCCAATACTCAGTTTTGACTTGTATTGATAAAGCTTCCATGGACATAGCGTGAGACAGCCTGGTCCAGGTTGTTAAGAGCCTTCAATATTGGTAGATGGGAGCAGCTTCATCCTAAGGTCGCATCCTCACTGCTAACGTACCCACCAGGGAGAGTCTTTTTTTGAGACACAGTTTCATTCTGTCACCCAGGCTAGAGTGCAGTGGCATCTTCATAACTCACTGCAACCTCAAACTCCTGGGCTCAAGCAATCCTTTTGCCTCAGCCTCCCGGGTAGCTGGGACTACAGACTTGCACCACAATGCCCGACTAATTTCTCTATTTTTTTATAGAGACGGGTCTCTGTTTTTCTCAGGCTGGTCTCAAACCCCTGACCTCAAGCGATCCTTTCACCTTGGTCTCCAGAGTGCTAGTATAACAGGCATGAGGCACTGTGCCCCGCCTTAGTGATTCTTTAAATCTTACCAATGTTATTGGTGAAATGGGGACTATTCTATTGATCCAGACATCAAGGCTTAGACAAATAAACTGTTTCAGAGGTGACACAGCTGGGTTTGGATTCAGACCACAAGAGTTTGACTTAAGAACTGGGGACTTTTAGTCACTTTAGCACAGGATATGAAGCCTTTGGCATGAGGCAGGCACCTAGCTGAACCAGTGAGGCTCATGCACTGCTGTTATTACCATCATTGCTATTTTGGGCCTGGTTAGTACTTGGATAGGAGACCATTATTGCTATTTTTATCATTATCATATCCTCATTCCCCTGATACCTTGGAAACCTTATTGTCTATGTCTCATAGTTCACTTGTTGTCCCTACTGTCCTACGTCATTCTCTGATAATTCTCATATATGAGGCTTCTTTGCCTTACTCTGTATTGTTATTTTCAAAGCACCGTCCACCTCCCCCTGCAGCTCAGCACAGAGCTTGGCCCTTAGGAGGTGCTCAGCGATTCAGGCCTTGATCTCTCAATCTTTTCCCTTGATCACATTCAATAGCCCAAAGGTCAATGCTACTACCTATTTGACTTTACAGATGTCTGTGACCTTTGATGATGTAGCTGTGACTTTCACCAAAGAGGAATGGGGGCAGCTGGATCGAGCTCAGCGAACCCTGTACCAGGAGGTGATGCTGGAAAACTGTGGACTCCTGGTGTCTCTGGGTAAGGCCTTCCACCTCTGCCGTGCAGGGGACCTGCCTCCTCCTTTCTACCCTCCACCTCTAGACCTGGCTGGTTAAGAAGGCCTCGAACCTGCCTCGCCTCCTTCCCACAACTCACTTTTCTGGACTGACCGCTTCCTATCTGTTCTCCATGTGTCTCTTTGGGCAAGAAACAGTATTCCTTGGCTTGCAGCCAAAGGAGAAGAAAGTGTTAGAAGGCAGTGGGGTGTTTTGCAGAAGCCAAAGAATGGATTTCCAGCTGCACCTTAATAGCGCAGTGATGGGGGAACTCTTACTAGAATCCCCGCAGTTGTGTCCTGGCTTCTCTCCCTGGGTCTGCTCATGTCACTGTCTATTCAGTACAGCCTTTTCTGCCTTAGTGAGTTTGGGGCAAGAGTGGCCACCACAGGCCTTGTTTTCTGACCCCCAGCTTCCTTGTCTCTATTTCTCTGGTCTTTGTAGGGTATCCTGAGGCAGCAAATGCTGCCATCCCCTCCCAAGCCCATACTTTCCTCGATCTATTACCCAGTGCTCAGCAGAGATGGGCCTCTGTCTGAGGCTCTTTCTTGGAGTTTCAAAGAATCTGACTGAGGGAGCCTGGGTGGCTCAGGTATCCCCTCCACAGCTGAGTTAACAGGGTCAGGCGTGGTGGGATGTTCTCCAAGAAAGGGGTGAGTCAGGCAGACTGCCCCAGGAGGCGTTTGTTTTCTAAACAGCACAGTCTCAACCATGAGGCTTCTTTATTTCCATGTGCCGTCCTCATGATTTCCTCTTTCCTAAGTACAGGACGGAGAGCCTCTGCCGGTGTGAAGAGAGAGGGGTTTAGAGCAATGCTTCTCAGCAGTTGGCTCGTGCCCCCCAGAACACATTGGCAATGTCTGCATTCACTTTGTGTTGTCACACCCGGGGTGCGGGTGGTACTGGCATTGAGTGGGTAGAGTCCAGAGATAGATGTTGCTGAACATTCCACGGCGCACAAGACAGCCCTCTCAACAAATGTCAGGAGCGGCAAAGGTGAGAAACACCAGCATACACGATTCTCTGCTTGAAGATAATCACCAGAAACCATTCAGTTTAGAGAAGAGGAGGGTTTCAATCCAGAGCAATTCTTGAGACTCAGTTTAATGTAAGACATGACTATTGTTAGGGACTGGAATTGTGTTTTGTGCCAATGAGAAGAGATAAAACAAAGTTACAAAAGTTTGATTTGGGTAATTTATTATGAATTTTTTTTTTTTAAATAAAGTTCTCTATCTAACCCTGCTGACTCCTTCACTGCCCTTCATGTCCTTTCACCCTGAGCTCAGCCTGCTCTAGCCTTGCTGGGCTTCTTGCTATTTCCCCAAGTGCCCACCAGCCTCAGCCCTTGTGCTTGCTGTTCCCTTTGCCTGGAGTATTCTCGGGATAACTCAGCATTTCACATGGCCAACCCTTCATACACAGTCACCGCCACCTCACCCAGCTCTTTCCTGACCGCCAAACCTCAGAGAGGCCCCTCTCCCATCAACCCTCCTTGCCTCACCCCATTTATGTTAAGCCAGTGGTTCTCAAGCAGGGATGATGATGCACCTCAGTGTACACTGGGCAACGCGCGGACATGTTTTTGGTTGTCATATCTGGGATGAGGATGCAACTGGCATCCAGTGACAGAGACGTGAGATGCTGCCAAGCATGCTTGTGGTGCCCAGGACAGATCCTCTCCCTCCTTTTCCCACCAAACAAAATTGTCTGGACCTAAACGTCAGTCATGCCGAGGCTGAGAAACCCTGTTTCGAGGGTGTGTGGACACTTCGCTGGCATTTACAGACACCCTGAGGAAGCCATTTTTTAACTTCTCTCTCCAGCCTCCTGAGGGTCGTTGAGGGAAGTCTGGGTTTAGTGCTGAGTCTTAACATCCCACGAACTGTTGCTAATTTTCCCTTTTCAACAGAGGGAGCAGCCTCGGCTCCCAGCCCTGAGCAGGCGGCATGAGCTGGGAGAGACTGACCTATGTCTTCATCTTACTGCTGCATTTTCATGGTGACCTGCCATCAAGACGAACAGCTTTGGGTTTTCTGTCTACCAAAGTGATGCGGGATTCCCTTTTCGAAAAAACCTAACAGAAATAAATAGTGGACCACTTTTAAGAAAAGCAATTAATCATGGTCATAGCTGAGGTCCCTGGAGCGCTGCCTGGATGTCAGGGCTGTTCTAGGCACTGTTCGTGTTCCACTTGTTTAACTGTCACAGTGTCATCATTTGTGTGGATTTGTGGGATTTTAATTTGTGGCAATGTCTGACAACACAGAAATGTTAGTGCTGATGAAGGAAGACATTATTACAGCTCTTGAGATAAAGGGGCATGCCACCTCACATGGGGCAGCACCAGTGTCGTCAGCACAAGGCAGGCGAAAGGACGGGCCACGGACTTTACTGGGGTTTCTGTGGAAAGGAAAGGTGGGGCAGAGTAAACAGTATAGGAGTAGCTAATTTGAATATTTCTGATGAACTCAGAGCCATTAGGCACAACTGTCCCTAGTTGCCTAGTTTTTGTCTCTGGGTTTATTTAGGGCAGCAGAAATATCGTGTTGGTATGTGAGAGTTAAAGGAGGTGGTTGGGAGTATGGCTTTGGACTGGTTGGTTTGCTTCTGAAATGGGTGCTTCTAGGAAGTTGATATTGTCTTTAGGGGTTAGATAGGCCTGAGGGGCAGAATCTCCAGGTCTACGAGGTCCCCAAAATATGAACATAAAATAATGGAAAGAACTTTAAAAACAGGATTAATACAATTGGTCCTCTGTTGTTTTGACATCGTATTAAAGATTATGGAGATGATAGTGGAGGTTTTCTAAAAGTATGGCATGTGTTGCCCTAAATAGTATAAAGTGTGGGAGGCATGAGAAGTTGCCAAAGTGTCGTTAGTGAAGGAGTCTCTGAGAGCACTGATGATTGTGATTTGGTTAGATTTTAGATTCATTTTTTCAAGGGCGCCTCACTTAAGGTGGGCTGATTTGTAAATATCACCATCAGTGAGATAAAGAGAAGTTTATAAATGAGCAATATGTTGCTCTCAAACCTCAAAAGAACTAAAAGATATTGGACTTACGTATGTATAATAAAGGTGTCAAATGAATCTCCTTGGAGGAGGGTGCTCTCAGTATGATATCTCTGTGTTTCTTGAGAAAGGTAGATGTAAGTTCTTGTCTTCAAAGATTGTGTGTGGTGGCAAAGCTGTTGAACTTCCTGACAGGTGGCCTGTGAAAAAATGTATTATCTCCTTTAGGAGGTGAAGGCAAACTGGCTGAGGGGCTGTTGAACTAGACACTGAACAGAAAATGTCAGTAAAATCTATAAGGGCCAAATACTTACCAATTGTTGATTGGATGGAGTTAGTAATTTTAATTATATTGGTGTGAGGACTGTGTTAGCTCTGGCTGCCATATAAAATACCATAGACAACATGGCCTAAACAATAGAAACGTATTTTCTCACAATTCTAGATGCTAGAAGTCCCAGATCAGTGGGCCAGCCAATCAGTGTGCCAGCCAATCAGTTTCTGCTGAGGGCTCTTACTGGCCACCTTCTTGCATTGTCCTCACATGGCCTTTCTTTCCTTTGTGGCTCTGCAGAAGAGGTCCTATCTTCCTCTTCTAAGCACACCAGTCCTATCAGATTAGGGCCCACCTTAGGGCCTTATTTAACATTCATTACCTTCTTGAAGTCCTTATCTTAAAGTACAGTCATTTTGGGGGCTTAGAGGCGCAACATAAATTTGAAGGAACATAACATGGTGGGACCATAATGGATGAGACCACAGCATTTTGGTGATAGTAACCCACTATGAGGTTCTCCTTCTTTTCCCCAGGTTTAAGAACAGGCAGAATTTGGTTGTGGAATAGAGAAGCAGTAGAGGTAATCACCCTTTTATTAATTAGGTTTTTTATAATTATTGTCAGATTGTCTATGCTCAATATGGGATATTTTAGAACAGTGGGTGATATGGCTGTGGGAAATTTAAGTAAGGCTACAGTTAACATGAGGCATACTTATTTTTTGTCTATTTTATGTTTAATTACTTTTTAAATTTAGAGAGATTCCCAGGTATAAATATAATTTGAACCCTAGCACTGATTAAATCTGACGTTTTGTCGGTGCATTTTAGGAAATTCTAAATTTAATTTAGAGCCTATATTATACAGGCACAAAAGCAAACTGGTACCATCTTTTCATTTTCATAATATAAACTTTTTAGTGCATATTTGTTATATATGTGCTATATATAATTACCATGTAATTTGCTGTAAATTTTTAGAATATAATTTTTGTGTTTCCAATTGGGTTAAATTATGGACATTGTTTTCATTTACTTATTGCACATGTATAATTCATTCACATTAAATTTTTTTGTATATAATTTAATCTTTTATTTTTCTCCCTTCTGTGTTTAGGATTTTTTGTTATTTTTAAAACTGAATAATCTAGGATTAATAATATGTTTGCTAACCCTGGCGTTTGTATACTACATAGATGTAAAGTTCTCTTTTCTGCTTTGAACTTGTAGCTGCCTAAAGCCACAGACCTTTTCCCTTTTACTCCCTTTTTTCTTGTTTCTTGTTTCTTGTTTTAGGCTTTTAGCCTCCTAAGTAGCGGATTTTAGTTTCTGCCTCTGGGTAATTAAAGGATAATTAAAGGATATTCGGTAGGGGAAGGGGTTTGGTGCCTCCAGGCTGCAGCCTCTCCTTAGTACAGCCTCTGTCCCCAGTACAATCAGTCCCCTCCCCCACATACAAAAGGGCAAGCCAGTGACATCAATTTCTTATAACACATAGAAAATGGTTGAGCAGCCCACCAAGTGCCTTTGGTATTATTGGCTTGGTGTCCCCACACAGTGTCTTGAATAAAGCCTCTCCTCACTCCCTTCAGGGGGGAGCCTCAGCCTTGTATGTTAACCAGTTATCCTAACCACCCCGGAAACTAGGCGTATCCAACTTGGAAAAGCAGACTGCTGAGATCAGTCTGTCCC